ATGCCTGGAATGAGGGGGAAGCCACCAACAGCCACACAAGCCCGCAGAAGCAGATGCAGGGGGAACTGAGGCCAAGTTTCCACTTGGGGCACAATATGGAATGCCAATAGACTGGGATCAGAAAGACTGGGATCCTTGACAAAGACAGGGCCAGAGCGGTCAGCATAGTTATTGGAATGGAATGATATGCAGAAAAGATCAATGTCATAGAAAGGCTTAAGGCTAAGAGACACCCCATGGAAGGAAAATGGTGACAAAGAGTCATTAACCCGGCATTCCTTCGGGGAAAGTGAATTCTGGGTGGAAAATGACATCACACAAATGCCACTGGGTCAGGGAGGCGTCCCCACCGAGCAGGACACAGGGTCCTTTGTGCTGCTGCCGGTCAGAGGGCAGACCATTGTTCCTTCTTCTCCCCAGAGCCCAGACGGAGCCCAGACGGGGTCTCCTCAGGCAGGGGGGACACAGGGGAAGCCCTATTGGCTCTGGAGATTGGGTGCATGCTAGGATCTCAGGAATGCAGGACCTGCCACTCTTCCAGTGACTTTTCAAGTTTTTTAAAAAATATTTTTTATATCCGAGACCGGTTTGGCTCAGTGGATAGAGCGTTGACCTGGGGACTAAAAGGTCCCAGGTTTGATTCCGGTCAAGGGCATGTACCTTGGTTGCGGGCACATCCCCAGTAGGGGTGGTGCAAGAGGCAGCTGATCAATGATTCTCTCTCATTGATATTTCTAATTCTCTATTCCTCTGTCTTCCTCTCTGTAAAAAATCAATAAAATATATATTTAAAAAATATTTTTATATATATTTTATTGATTTTCTACCAAGAGGAAAGGAGACAGATAGAGAGCTAGAAACATCAATGAGAGAGAAATACCCATCAGCTGCCTCTTGCACACCCCCTACTGGGGATGTGCCCGCAACCAATGTAACATGCCCTTGACCGGAATCGAACCTGGGACCCTTCAGTCCGCAGGCCAACGCTCTATCCACTGAGCCAAACCAGTTTCCGCTGTTAGTTGTCATTTTTATTTGCCAAGTTCAAGAGGTTCCTATCTTGGTATGTTTACTTAAGTAAAAATTGCGTTTGTACTGTTAATGAATTACTTTTTTTTTAAGTGCGAGTTTTAGATGGGATAAAACAAAACGTGATTCTGTGGTGCTGTGTGAAGGCCAAAGTCTCCATTCTGTGTGCTCCTTCGCACTGTGCCAGTGGGTGCACGGTGCTGAGACTTGGGCTTTGATGTAAGCTCTGGGTTGGCCAACAAGCTTCTCCGTTATCTTCGGGCCGTAGTCAGAGGCATGCGTGGGCTTCTGGACACAAGGTCGCAGCTCTGGCCGGCTCCCACACACCAGTCCTCTGGCGGAGAGCTTGGCCACGGACAGACACACTTCCAGTGAAATGCATGGGTGTGGAGACATCCCCGCAGAGCCTTTTCCCTTCCCTTTGAGGACGTGCGTCTGAGCTGCCAAACACCCACGTCACACAGCCACGGGCACGATTCCGGGTGCCCGCTAGGTCTGAGGGTGGGCAGCCCTTCTGCCCGAGTTCCTCCCAGACCTTGGCCAAGAGCCTGCCTTCCACCCTCCAGAACCTCAGAGGCCCATGTGACCCGCAGAAACATGGTCCCATGGTGCTGAAGTCCGTTTCCAGCTGCAAAAACAGACACGTCGCTTTTCAAAAGTGGAAATAATGCCTTTATCGTCACATTCGCTTCCCTCTGCCCCAGCAGCTCAGTCTGCACAGCAGGATGACTTGAAGGATGACTATTTCAAATACAGTGCATCCCTCTCCGGAGAAAACAACTGTAATGGTTACAAGTCTATAAAGGTTCACTGAGATCATTAGCACAGTGTATGAGCGGCCCGGGGCGGGGGGGGGGAGAGGAAGAGACAGATGAAGCGAGGTGTGGCTTGGTTCAGCAGTTCAACTGAACAAGTGTTGAAGGCCAAAACAGAGTAAAAAGAGAGAGTGCAGAGAGGGAGGGGGGAAGTCTTAGATTTTTCAGGGCGTGGGGGCCAGGACAAGGACATCAGATTGGGGAAGGGCCGAGTGGGGGGGAATCCTGCAGATGTCTACACAGGCAGGTGGTCTATCGGCCTTCGGACTTGCCCGGGGCTCGGCACTCTGGAAGGCTGGCTGGCTTGCTCAGCAGCAGCTCGCTCTCTCAGGCAGACAGTCCACAGCCCAAGCCGAAGAAGCACCTCCCTCTTCCTCTTCCCTCTGCCCAGCAAGTGGACTTCCTTATGGCGAGGGCTGATGGTTGGTAGGCCCTTTGCCCGCCTCGTGGGGCTGAGCAGAATGTCCATGGCCTTAAGATGAGGAATCGGCGGGGGGTGGGGGTAGGGATGGGAGAGGAAGGGGTCAAGATGGAGGAAACGGAGAATGCCTCATCAGGGAAGTGACCAGAGGTATACAGGCGTGAGAACAATCAGGGCCATCGATTAAGTATCCTTGTTCCTCTACAGACAATCGGAGAAAGCAGCTAGACGTTGGTTACCGAGGAACGTGAAGTACATTGGAAAGATGGGTATCTGAGGGACGTGAAGTACATGGAAAGATGGGTGTCTGGATCCGCAATGAGACCAAGGCGGAGTGAACTGCTGAGGCACGGAACGCGGTCTCCACATCACAACCCCCGCCGGTGGAGGCAGCAATTCCTTACGTGGTAGAGGCGGCTCTGCAGCTTGGCCTGCATCACGCACCAGCAGCAGGCGGGACATCGGAGTAGAAAGTGACATCCTGATGCCTCCGGTGCTACTGGAGTGTCATGTGAACAAGATCCTCTCAGACCGCCCTACAGAGACTCAAAATCAGCCCTTCGCTCCACTCACCGTGTGCTGTTCTTCATGCTGCAAAACTATGCAAAAAAAAAAAAAAAAAAAAAAAAAAAAAAGGCTAGAAAATGATGAATAGCAACATGCCTGACACAGGGGACCAGTGAAACCTTTTCCATCCCTAACGACCCTGAGGATGGACTCGGTGTGAATCTTATGGGCACAAATCGTCAAGGAACAGAATTTCTTAGGTTGAGTTTATACAGAACACTAAGGAGGTACGTTGTGAGAAGTAACTGAGGCTGATTCTTAGGTATACAGACCTCCCCCCCACTCTCTTTACTGTTTCATCTCCCTCCCCCTGGAGTAAATGCAGTACTGGACACAAAGCAAGCACATGCGAGACAGCTGAGCACACAGAGCTTGGTAGAGGTGGGGTCAGGAATGCTGGAAGCTCAGGTCCATTCGTCTCTGTTTCTCTTGGCCTAAGATGCTCCGATTCCATCAGCACTGAAATATTAACAAGCATGTGTGTGAAACGAGCCATAAACCTCCTCCTTAGGCTCAGCCATGTGTGTGTGGGCGGGCAGGATCCCCAGGCACAGTCCTCAGAGCCAAGAGTATTTTTTTGGGTGTGGGCAAATCTCACTGTAATTGTAAAAGCCTTCATTTACACACATTGAATAATGAAAACACACACACATAAACACACACACACACACACAAAAAAAAAACAAAAACAAAAAAAAACAGGAGAGCTGGGAATCTTACGTCTATCATATATAATAAAAGGCTAATATGCAAATCCATCAAATGGCAGATTGACCAGTCGCTATGTGCACACTGACCACCAGAGGGAGTGCCACTCAGCAGCTGGATATCCCCCCGAGGGCTCCTAGACTAAGAGAGGGATAAGGCAGGGCTGAGGGACCCCCTGCCCCCCCCCCCCCCCAGTGCATGAATTTCATGCACCAGGCTTCTAGTGAATATATAAAAGTCCCTTGAAATCCAGGTAGTCAAGATTTGGGGAAGGGGGGTATCCCTATCCTCAATTTCCTGCAGGTCATTCTACACTCACTTTGAAAGACAACTAGGCATCGTTGGAAGTTCCAAGCAGTAGGATGTGCCTTGCAGGGAGAGAAGGAAGCATTTTATAGAATCAGGTAAGGACCCATCAGCCATGCCCCCCTCACAAGGTGAGACAGACCTCCTGGAGCCAGGCCAGGGCAGACCGCGCAGGGAGGGGGCCCGGCGGGGATAGGAAGCCTGGAGACAGGGAGCTCAGGGTGCCACGCAGTGCCTGACACATCGGTTCACCCCGTACCTCGGACGAGACGACCCCTCCCTGACCTCGGATGTGGGTGCCCGAAACAGCCTTGTGCCATGGCTGCTCTCTCACTGCCGGGGGCTGTCCGAGAGTCTCAGGTTAGCCCCTAGACAAATCCAAACTGTCACTGAAGGGATGCCATCAGGCTCCTCAGGAAATCACTGTGTGTCTTTATAATATTATTTTTTTTAAATACGTTTTATTGATTCTTTCACAGAGAGGAAGAGAGAGGGATAGAGAGTTAGAAACATCGATGAGAGAGAAACATCCATCAGCTGCCTCTTGCACACCCTCTACTGGGGATGTGCCCGAAACCAAGGTACGTGCCCTTGAGCTGAATCGAACCTGGGACCTTTGAGTCCACAGGCCGACGCTCTACCACTGAGCCAAACCGGTTTCGGCAGGAAATCCCCGTTTTACTTAAGACACATGAATGGACTCCTCCTTCCCTACCTGGAGCCCTGATTCACCATGAAGAGCCCCACTCTCTCTGGGGTTTCTTCCACACACAGGAGCCGCTTCCGTATTGTTTCATTTTGATTTTATTTGGTTATCTTTGAAAGAGACAGAGGGAACAGAAAGGAAAGGGAAAAAAATGTGACGAACCCCCCAACGTGGGGGCTTAGGGTACAAAACCAGACCTCTCTGCCCCCCCCCCCCCCCCCCAGGGCCATCCAGACTGCAGGACCGAGTTTCAGCGCCCGGGGAAGTCAACCATCACAGCGCCGGGGCGAAAGCCTAGGTGTACAGCTAGAGGGTTTCAACCGAACGCTAAAAATGTAAGCTGCGACGTTTCAGGAACAAAGAACTCTTAGAGGCATCTCAGGAGAGAAAGGAAGGAGCTAACGCCGGGCGGGCTGCCTGCACAGCCCAGCTCGCTCCGCCGCCGGCCTCAGGCGGACACGTAGGGGGGCGGCGGCTCCTTGGCGATGCCGGTCACAGTGGCATCGTCATATGGGGGCAGCAGCACCTGCGGAGAGAGAAGACGAGGATCAGGGTGGGGAAGTGTATGTACGTCCTCCTGAGCTTGGACTTCCGTGGAACTTACTTTTAAAATATATTTTAGTGATGTTTTTACAGAGAGAAAGGGAGAGGGATGGAGAGCTAGAAACATCAACGAGAGAGAAACATCGATCAGCTGCCTCCTGCACACCCCCTACTGGGGATGTGCCCGAAACCAAGGTACGTGCCCTTGACCGGAATCGAACCCAGGACCCTTCTTTTAAAGGGTTTTTGTTTTTCTGTTTTGATTTGGTTTGGAAACTACTCTTATCTATTCTCCTTGAGCTGTATTTAGGAAAGTATATGTCTGGCCAATGATGTGCATTGTTTTATAGAAAGAAAAAAAAGCACACTTATCATCTGCCAACCAGAGCCCCTGGATCTTCCCCGAGGTCACCCTGAGACAGTTTAATCAAGGAGAACCGCCTCCTGGCCTAATATCTGACAGGAAGTGAAAGACACAACATGTTACTACGTCTGTGTAGACTCCCAAAAAGGACCTGGACAAAAGATAAGCATACAGTGATGTATGCAAGGATCTTAATATAGCTACGGGGACAGGGAAAATGACAGAATTCCATCATCCCACCCCCTTAGGATCGCAGAGTGAGGCTCCAGTGTATTTATGTCAGCTCCTAAATTTAGTTCTTGTTCAATCCGTCTTTAAACACGAAGAGCCCTGCTTCAAAGAGGACATCTGGCCCTCGCTGGTCTGGCTCCATGGACAGAGCGTCAGCCTGCGGACGGAAAGGTCACAGTCACAGGTTTGATTCTGGCCAAGGGCACGTGCCTCGGATGCGAGCTCGATCCCCAGCAGGGGCGTGCAAGAGGCAGCCCATCGATGATTCTCTCTCTTCACTGATGTTTCTATCTCCCCCTCTCCTTTCCTCTCTAAAATCAATAAAATATATTAAAAAAAGAAATCTGTTCTCCCTCCCTGCAACTCTAGATTGTGGCCACCAGCAAAAGGAAGCTGCCTCCTTGGAGAAATGGCTGATTGCAGGTCTGGGCAGGCAATGGGCCAGATGAGTGCAGAACACCTTGTCATACCGGACAGCATGTGGCTCCCACAGATGGTATCAGAAGTTCCAGGCTCCAACCTGAAGAGGCCACAAATGGCTAATCATGGTACAATGTGAGCAACTACAATGTGCCAACTTTCAAGAGGAAGCTTTCATTTCCCCCCCTTTCCGAAAGTTTCAAGATAGGTATCAATAATGATTTAGGCTTACTGGTAAAACTTATCAAAACAGTTGTACTTTGCAGCTGGCTCTTATAACAATAGGCCTCTTTTTAGGAGTTTCTTTATTACTTAAAAACACACCTCCTGCCCAGTCCATGTGGCTCAGGGGCTGAATGTGTCAACCTATGAATCAGGAGTTCATGGTTCGATTCCTGGTCAAGGCACATACCTGGGTTACAGGGCCTGTCTCCAGTAGGGGGCGTGCAGGAGGCAGCCAATCAATGATTCTCTCATCATTAATGTTTCTCTCCTCCCTTCCTCTCTGAAATAAATAAAAATATATATATATTTTAAAAAGAAACGTTTTTTGGGGGGAAGGAGGTTTGAAAAACACACCTCACAAAAACAAACGAACAAAAAACCCTGCTCCTCACTGGTTACCACTAGAGAATAATGAACCAACTTATCATTTTGAAAACTGATAAAAAGAACAAAACTAAGTATATTTATCGATGGCACAAATGCAATTGGGTAGCCAATTAATACAGGAGGGAAAGTTACTCTCTATCAACATTCCCGCTAACAAATGAAAAAAGGAATGATAGAATGTCACAGTAATATAAGCCCTAAAGAATCAATGAAGCTAGGCATTAGGTAGCAATGGTTGCTGACATCCCGGAAAGACAGAACCAACCAGATACCATATGCCTCCTGGTGGAAGAACAAATAATCAACTGTGAAGTAATCTTGGGAAAAACAGTGGAAATAAGAATAGGGAATGCCTCTAGATTCTAACTTACTGGAAAGTCAAAGGACTATAACCAGAAAAATCTATAGTCTGCAGGACAAACCAATTTCTTCAACAAAAAATTACAGAGACCTAAAATACATACAGGGATGGGCAAACGTAGGTTGACGGTCCTTTGTGTGGAAAGTTACTACAATAATTAGTAAATAACTATAGGAGGAAAAAAAATAAATAAAATAAAATAAAAAAACTATATTAGAATCGACTTTCACAGACTCAAGGTGTGGTCCTACTTTTGCCAACCTCCCTGTAATGAATCATAGAGTCTGTTTCAAAGAAACGGCTAGAAAAAAATATGACATGTATGAGACCATTGGGAATCTGGGCCCTTACTGGATATTTAATGATGTTAAGAAATCACTTCATATAAAAATTATTTTATATATCAGTATGCTTAAAAAAAAATAAATAACCACAATCCCAGTCTGTGTTTTTGAAACATTTCTAAATACTGTCAGAGAGCTGAGACAGCAGGTGGTGACCTATTCCTGCATTTTGGAATAAACGATCAATGCGACGGAGTTATGAGAAATGATAAACCTCCCTTTTCCCAGGAATACCATTCTTCAAAAAAAAAATTAATGAAAGGCTCACTGAGAACGCTGACAAAGTAGTCACATTATCAGCAGCAACTCGGTTTCCTGAAAAAGGACACACTGATACAGAACGACCAGGGAGATAATGACCAACACCCGCCCTCCAGCAATCCCCAGCTTCTCTAGCCAGCACTCCGGGGAGCACCGGGGCCAGCCCAGGCCCACGGCCCCATCCTCCTCACTCCACACCAGCACCGGAAGCCATTCCGGGAGGGAAGAGTCTATTATTAAAGGGCTGGGTGTCCCGCTGAAAAGCCAAGGACCCTGAGTGGATGTGAGCCTGCAGGAAGCTGAACTGTTGCTCCACATCTCATTCTGGACCTTCTACATGGAGAGAAACACGTTTGCTCTAAAAGCTCTTTGGAGGTGTTTTGGGGGCTGAATAGTTCTTAGGTTCACCGGGCACCCACCGTGCTGTCGTTGCTGGTCACGTACACCAGCACGTCGGAGTTGTTCCTGCCATTGATGTAGCGGTAGCAGCTCCATACGCAGCTGATCAGGTAACCCTGAGAGGGGTGGGGATTATTCAGTCGTTAGTTCTCAAACTCCAGACAGCGTCCAATATCACCGCAGACAGAGCCGCACCACAAACCCTTTATTTACCGACGTCTACAAATGCATCCGTTGACTCTTCTAGACCAAAAAAGGCTTTGCAATCACAAATATCGGGGTACACTCACTTCCTGGCATAGGGTGCTACGCTAGCCTTATTCTATCACACCACCCCGGTCGGAGGGGGAAGCAGAGTGGGGCTGAGGGCAGAATAAGAAATTCAAAGAAAAGACAGTAGCCATCGCCAAACACATTGATTGCTCCCAAATTCCCTGTCAGCATCCACGCACCCAACACCCCAATGGAAACCTCTGTGGTGTAACTCTCTCTAAAAACACAATAACTACACTTCAGTGACTTTGTTTCTTATTTGACATTTCTGTAACCCGGAAGAGAATGTAGTGGATTTCCCAAATAAACTTGCACTGACCAATTCTGTCCATCCTCTACTGGCAGAGCTTAGGAGGGAAAGCATTGCTCCCTCCACTGTCCTAGGAACAAGTGGAACTGTCGTGTGATGGTGCTGACTCCCAGGGAACTGGAGCGGCGACAACCCTTATCGATGAGTAACAGAGAAATGTGGGTCAGGACGCCGCTCATTGGGTACCCTCCTGTGTGAGGCCACGTAGGAGCCCTTTTGGTAAGTGGTCACTGAATGAATGAAGGAACAACGGATCTAGCCATGCGTCCGTCCCCTCACTGAAACCTCACAGTCCCTTACCGATAGTTTGCCTAACTACTCCCACCGCTATTTGGTAAGGAAAGACACCAAGGCCAGGGGCACCGTTGGGAACAGTGGTGATAGAAGGTAAGTCTAGTTGCTCTGACCCACAATCTCAAGTAAGCATTTTCAATATAAACGAAAACGCCTACAAAATGAAAATGCCTTTTTTTTAAGAGCATTGCCAGCCTCTGAGCTTCTGGAAATGGCAGAGAGCAGCTGGTCAGATGAACCTTCGTGCAAGTAAAACTGATAAAGCCAGATACACACACACACAAACACACACACACACACACACACACAATGTGAAAGCAAGGGCAAAGCACCAATCGCAGGCAGAAGCGAAGGGGACTCTACCCTCCAAGACAAAGTGCTCTGAGTGGGATCGGAGAGTCCGCGGCCTCTGCCTGGGGCCCCCCCATATCTACCTGCAGCCTGGGGGGTTGGGGCGGCCAAGGACAGGAGTTGGGGTTGACAGAGCAGCCGGGGAGTTGGGGGAGTGGAGGGGAGGAGCTGCAGAAGCAGTAAGCCTCAACATGTGTGCGTAAATCCACCCAAATCCTGGACTATGACACGACACATGCAACATCCAAATTCTCCATGTTATAAGGGGAAGTGTAGAGCCAAATGATTTTCAACGAATCCTTATCTGTGAATGAGCCACTTCATCATATGACCTACTCAAAATGCTTTTTCTCCCAAGTGCAGCTTCCTCGGTTTGATTTTTTTTTTTTTTTTGAAGAATTGGCTAATTTTTATGTCAAAATAAAGACTGTGAATGGTATGAAGAATTAAAAAGTTCAAAGCCCAACAATAAACTGAGAATTTTCTACGCATTAGCAGCACACAGGAATAGATTACAGCGATGTGTCTGCTATCGGGTTTACAAGATGAGAAAGAATGCGGGAACACTGCTGACTGGAGCGCTGTCCCTCGGCCTCCGCGAGGTCAGTTTGGCAGCCTATCAAAGGCCTTCGAATTCTGCACTCCCGCTATAATGTTACAAAATGTATCTTGAGGAATGTCTAAGTATACAAAAGATGTGTCTAAATGCATTCCTTGTAGCAATACTAATAACTGAAAAAAGGAGCAACTGTCTCAATGTCCAACGATAAGTCTATTCTGTCCACTTAAATAATAAGTGGACAGAATAGACTATTAAACAGTGATGCTCAGAATACACTGCATTTTCAAAAACAAGTTAAGAACGCTGCCATAAATGCTGCAGTATATAATAAATGCCGCACCATGCATGACAGCACGTTCATTTTTCCTCATCCTAACGGATTTGGGAGTAACCCTGGACGGCACGGGCCTCTGGACGCTGGGCGAGGGCTTATTTCGGGCAGAGAAGAGAAGGAACCGAAGATCCGGCAATCCAGAAGCAGTCCCGATAGCGAAGCAAGAGAATGAGCTGGCGTGTGTGTGTGTGCTTCAGGGCACCCATGGATACGTTTAATAAGAGGCAAGAAGTCAATATCTTTATTCTTACCTTGAAAGCCAAGACGATGCTGATAAACAGAAGGACAATGAGGACCAGACAGGTGGAGTTCACGGACATGGCGTCCTCTTTGTAGGGAAAATCAGGGGGCTGCAGAAGAAGAGAGCCTCATTAGCCGCTAGCATTCATCACTCGGGACTACATCCCCGAGGCTTTCCTCACACGTGCTTCTCGGAAAACAGAGGGCGGGGAGCTGTTCAAGACCCCTGGGCTGTCCAGCCTACTTCTCTGGATGAAAAGCTACAAGCGGTGGGGTAAGGAGAGGCCGGCCCGCTCATAACGCAGGCGAGAACTCTTGAAAAGAACCATGAGAGGAAGGTTCCTGGGAGACCCGAACACACCTGTGCCCTCCTGCTATAGGAAAAGCTGAACGGCAGTAGCTTACACACCTGACATGTGGATTGCCTGCAAATGCTGGACCGTTCCAAACCCAGAGCTTGTGCAGGGCAAAGGGGAGAAACCTGTTAAAATGAGTCTCCTTGCCCTGTGGTTTACGGTTCAGTGGGTGAACGTCGTGAACCAGGAGGTCGCGGTTCATGCCCGGAATGTGGGCTCGGGGCCCCAGGAGGGGGTGTGCAGGGGGCAGGCGATCAACGATTCTCTCTCATCATTGATGTTTCTCTCTCTCCCTCCTTCCTTCCTGTCTGAGATCAATAAAAAAATATTTTTTTTAAAGTTACAATCCTGACTTAAAAAAAACAACAACAAAACACCCCACCAATTAACGTGTGCGCACGCCTATCCGAGTTCCCGTGTCCGCTATGAACCAGGGCCCCGCGGGAAGAGACGCAGGCTCGGGCGGCCGCCTACCAGCTGCCGGATGTAGTCCTGGATGGAGCTGGGGTAGACCAGCACGGTGATGGCCACCAGGGCGCTCAGGGCGAAGTCGAAGATCTGGTAACAGAAGAAGGGGACGATCCAGGCCGCCCGGCGCTGTGGGGAGCAGAAAACAGGCGCTCACGCCCATCCCGTCCACAAGGACCCACCGTGCTTCCCTTCAATCCGGAGGTTTCTCCCTTCGTCCGAAGGGAAAGGAATAGCAGTCCAGCCGGCCAGGCCACGACGGCAGCCGGTAAGCCAGATGGGAGCCAACGAACAAACCCAGGGAACATTTCTGAGACTCTGCTCTTGGCTTTCCTAGTGCTACACCCCTAAGAACGAGAGATTTAGGCTCTCAGAGCCGAAAGCGGTGTGACTCAGTGGATGGAGCGTCAGCCTGCAGACTGAAAGGTCCCGGGTTCGATTCCGGTCAAGGGCAGGACCTTGGTTGCGGGCACATCCCTGGTAGGGGATAGATGATTCTCTCTCATCGATGTTTCTAACTCTCTATCCCTCTCTCTTCCTCTCTGTAAAAAATCAGTAAATATATTAAAAAAAGAAAGTTAAAAAAAAAAAAAAAAGATCCTTTCAGAAACCCGGGAGTGCTGGCCTCGGACTCCTCACGGACAGCTGTCCAGATCACACAAGCAAGGGATGGGGGGAAGGACCCCCTTCTTTTTTTTTTTTTTTTTTTTAAACCAGGAAAATAATCAAACTTCTAATCCATGCTCATGGGGAGGAACTGAGGCAACACGGGGTACATTATGACATATTTTGGACCAACAAGGGGAGGATGGGGTATGAGACTTCCGAAGGGAGGGTGGGTGGCTTACAGGCGATTGAGGAAGAGCGGAACACACCTGGCAAGAAATTCCGGTTAGGCCGCCGGGGAACAATGGGGCACCGGCCCACAGGCCTCTGCCCGAAGCCCGCCTGTTTACCACGGGGCCACGGCGACCCGGCCAGGCTCCCCTCCCGGAGGGGGGTTTGTGCCTGAGCCTCCGAGGGCCCAGCTTACCTTGTACGCTCCGTACGTAGCCATGGCACAGATCAGGATCATGAGGAGAGAGATTGCGACAGCAATGCACATGTCTGCCAAAGGGTAAAAAAAAAAGAAAAAAGAAAAAGTTTTTTAGAAGCTCCGTTGTTAAGCATTTCTTTACGTCTCTCCTCAAAGGCACTTTGTTTACACACCGACCACAAGCGAGGACACGTCATACTAAGAAAAGCAAAAGCGGTCTTTTGGGATTTGAGAAGGTGAGACTCGTTAAGGAAAGTGTGGCTCAAAAGGTGTCCTCCCTGGGTCATGGAAATGCCTGGGGATAGAGTAGAAATAGAAATCAGAGACGGATTTACATATAAGTTTATTTCCACATTGGGAAAGGGATATTGGTTGGGATATATCTAAAAAGTTGGACGTCTGGTCCACTGTTGTTGTTGTTGTTTTTTTTTAACACGTCGGTGTCTAACTTGTATTTTTTTTTTATTATTATTTTTTTAAAATATATATTTTATTGATTTTGTACAGAGAGGAAGGGAGAGAGATAGAGAGTTAGAAACATCGATGAGAGAGAGTCATCGATCAGCTGCCTCTTGCACACCCCCTACTGGGGATGTGCCCGCAACCAAGGTACATGCCCTTGACCGAAATCGAACCCGGGACCTTTCAGTCCGCAGGCCGACGCTCTATCCACTGAGCCAAACCGGTTTCGGCTGGCTCTGCCTTTCGAACCAGGCAGGTCTTGGCTCGATGGCAGCACCTCCCAGGCCCTCCCACAGCCATCACTGCTGCGTGTTCTTCACGGTGTATCACTGCGATCGGACCCGCACCTGTGGTGTACTGTCCGTCTCCCTCTGCTGGGGAGGGAAAAGGCTTTCCACACCTGGTTCACAACCACACCCTCAACGCCGGGAAGAGGACAGATGGCCAGTACGGCAGCCTCTAGCCGCCTGTGGACACAGGGCGTTCGGAATGAGGCCACTCTGAATTGAGATGTGCTGTAAGATTAAAACATACTCCGGATTCCAAGGAGTCAAGAGAGGGAGGGAGGGAGGAAGGGAAAGAGAGAGGGAGGGAGGGAGGATATAAAATATCTCCTTAATAATTTTTATACTGATCACATGCAGCAGAGTCTGTCCAGTGTGGCAGTTTCTAAGCTGTTTCACGGACATCTCATCTCCTTCAGCCGTTCTAACTCCCAGGCGTGTTCCTGTTCCCACAGAGCAGATTATGAAACTGGGGCTCAGGGGTTATGTAACGTGTTGAGAGCATTTGCACAAAAAGCTGAAGGATGACTAACGCTGCTCTTATGATTCCAGTCTCTGGCTCTTTCTACTGTACATGCTGCTTCCATCTAGCCTCTGAACAGTGACCTGGAACCAGCCAGGCTGCTTCCTTCCCACAGGTGATTTCTCCGAAGGAAAGGATTCCTATCGTGGAGCCATCCTCCCTTTAGCCCCAGCATCTGAAGCAGGAGGTTTATGAACAGAAGCACGGGGTGGAAGAACATGCTAGGACAGAAATGTGACATGTCAACAAAGACCACCTGCCATCTTAAAAAAAAAATTTTTTTTAAAATGAAGAGCCGAACTGGTTTGGCTCAGTGGATAGAGTGTCAGCCTGCGGACTGAAGGGTCCCAGGTTCGATTCCGGTCAAAGGCATGTACCGTGGTTGCAGGCACATCCCCAGTGGGAGGTGTGCAAGAGGCAGCTGATTGATGTTTCTCTCTCATCGATGTTTCTCTCTATCCCTCTACCTTCCTCTCTGTAAAAAATCAATAATATATATATATATATATATATATATATATATATATAATATGAAGGTTCCTCAATTTGTTCTATAGATTTAATGCAGTAAATTTATAACAATACTAACGATTTAAAAAAATATATTTTCTATTGATTTCAGAGAGGGAGACAGAAACATTAATGAGGAGACAGTATCACTGACTGGCTGCCTCCTGCAGGCCCCTTACTGGGGATCAAGCCACACACCCTGCTTGTGCCCTGACCAGGAATCGAACCATGGCCTCCTTGTTCTTAGGTCAGCGCTCAACCACTGAGCCACACTGGCTGGGCGCTAGTGATTTTTATTAGAGTGAAAATCCAATTCTCAAGAAAGAAAAAGAAATAAAGGTTTTGATAGCCTCGGACTAGTGCCTAAAAGATCATGATTCCTTTAGGAATACAGACATATTCATAGTTTATAATTTCAATGCTTAATTAATTTACCTTTTCCCTCTAGTGAGGATAGAAGTACCGACATGGGAATTTCACGAATGCCTCCGAGCATTCTTGCAGAGCCAGGGGAGGGATTAAATGCGAATGCACTTAAATGCCTTAAATGCAAAGTTTCCAGTTACACACCCCCATTCCAGTGCTGCCGTGTGCATGTGAAGCAATGAGCCTGTCACGCTCATTTTTGTTTTTTTTCCTGCATAAAGCGCTGAGCATAGTGGAATGTTCTGTGCTGTCTACTTCCTCTTTCCATTCTCCTCAGCGAGAGAGGCACTGTTATTTCATTTAATCCTTATGGCACCCCCTTCAAGGGCAGATACAATTGTTACAGCTTCATTTTAGAGGGAAAAAAGATAACTTGTCCAAGGCTGCCCAGCTAGGAAGCGGTGGATAGGTTATAAAAAGAGTCGGGCATCAATAAGCAATTATTCTGTGCAAAAGCCTATCAGAATGTACCGCAATCTCTGAAACTTAAACTCAGGCACCAGTTCTTTTCTTCTTTGTCTACTTTTATGGTTTCCAAATTCCGTGCAGTCATATTTTATAAGGAAAAAGATAATTAATTTTATGGAGGCCGACTTATCATGGGATAGTCTTTGACAACCTCAGAGGTCTTGAAAGACTTAGATAAACAAGCAAGCAAAGTCAAGGCATAATTCCAAAAAATAAGACAATGAATCACCGTTGTTAGTATAAAATGTTAATATGGTCAAAAAATAATCATCTTTAAGAACTGCATATCCTATTCGGGAGGGAGGGGGAGTCACTCCAGAACTAAATTTCATAAAATCATGCAAAGATTTAAAATTTCCACCTTGCCCTAACTAGTTTGGCTCAGTGGGTAGAGCATTGGCCTGTGGACTGAGGGGTCCCAGGTTCGGTTCTGGTCAAGGGCATGCACCCACTGGGGGGTATGCAAGAGGCAGCTATTTCTAACTCTATCCCTCTGTCTTCCTCTCTATAAAAAAAAAATAATAATAATAAAAAATCAATAAAAAATATTTTTTTAAATAAATAAAATGTCCACCTTATTCAAAGAATACAAAATCAGAAACATTAAAAGGTGCAAATAAAATGACTCATAACCAAGTACCCTATGGACAAAGCTCCCTCGTCCTCGTCAGTGCAGTTCAGCCAGTGAGGGGCCCGGAGAGAGAGCAGAGAGCAGAGGGCCAGGCCACCGCCTGCTGTCAGCTTGCCCGGGGCCAGCTCTGCCCCTGCTCAACCTAAAGTCGGAGGAATGGCTGGCTCTGTTCATGGTCAACAAATACTTCCCGTCTCTAAAACTCCCCTTACTTTGCCCAGCAACACTCCCCCCCCAACTGTATTGCTCAAAGCCAATGAGAAATACATCTGCATGACCTTCTGTCTGGGATTAGGCACAGCCAGGACACGGCGTGACTGTGATTATAAAATATTCAGATGTCTGTGGCCTCAGAGCTGGGTGCCTGGCTCATGTTTCTATCTATCAGAAAAAGGCCCCAAACCCACCCAAATAACTACCAACGTGGTTTCCAGATGGAGAATGATCACAAGAAAGGAAAATACTAAGATGACAGAAGACACAATAAGACCTGCATTAGCCTTTTAACCTTCCATCTGGCTGTGTATCTTTATCCCCCCTCCTCCCGCAAAGACCCAAGGCCAGGGTAAAAAGATGATGGCAAAGCAACTGATTTTTTTTTTTTTTAAATTTATTTCAGAGAGGAAGGGAGAAAGAGGGAGAGAGAGAAAAATATCAGTGATGAGAGAGAATCATGAATCAGCTGCTTCTGCACATCCCCTAGTGGGGTTGGAGCCCAAAACCCAGACATGTGCTCTTGACCGGAATCAAACCTGGGACCCTTCAGTCTACAGGCCGACGCTCTATCCACTGAGCGACACCGGCCAGGGCAAGCAATTCAGTTTTAAAAAAGGCAACTATGTAAGATGAAAACAGAAAAAAAGAGTCCTTATTTAGACTCCTACACTGAGAACCCGCAGGGAGGTGCACAAATACTCACCGGGTTTGATTTGTAACGACGGGATGTTAAGTATCAGTTCAAATGGGCCCCCAAATCAATACCTGTAACTTCACAGGAAGAACTGGAAGCCGGATTCCCCGCCCTTGAAAATACCAAACTATCTACACTCGCCCCTGACAGTACTCACTGGCATCGTCCATGAACTCCAGGTCGCCCAGCTCCGGACTTGAGAAGCGGTGCTGGCTGGGGTAGGCCAGGGAGCTCAGCAGAATCAGCAGCACCACAGCATTGATGACCTGCACGCGGTCAGGAAAAATCGCACACACACGTAAGTGACACTCCTTGCATACAGTCCCCCCCCCCCCCATCACAGACAAGTTCACGGACACACAGAATGTAACCTCAATAGAGACCCCGTGCCCGGCCGGCAGCTGGGCTTCCCCTCACTGCCCGCTCGGCCACGTCCATGCTCCTGAGCGAGTGTTTGCAAGTGATTAGACTTTTTCACCAGCTCAGGCAGTTGTTTTTTTTGTTTTGTTTTGTAATATATTTTATTGATTTTTTTTTTTACTGAGAGGAAGGGAGAGAGATAGAGAGCTAGAAACATCGATGAGACAGAAGCATCGATCAGCTGCCCCCTGCACACCCCCCACTGAAGATGTGCCCGCAACCAACGTACATGCCCTCTCCCTTCCTCTCTTTAAAAAAATCAATAATATATATATATATATATATATATATATATATTTTTTTTTTTTTTTTAAATAGCATCACTACCGATTCCACGGCAAAGACCCCAAAAACTTCACAGCACATCGGAAATACACTGTGATCAGCAAAACTCTAGCTCAATAAAACTTCCCAGAACATATCCGAGGCTCGATGGGAGGGACGAGCTAGCCCCACAACTGGCATGTGACACGTGGGGAAGATGCTAAACGGTCACATTTTCTCGGCAGCTCACTCCCTTTACACTCTTATCTCTGGAAGGCAGTCCGGAGATTACGGGCTGAAATAAGATCAGATGAAACAACCTAAAACGTGTCTGTTCTTATCACAACGAGGTCAGCTTTTCAGCTGCGAAGGAATTGAAGGGGTGGAAGAGGGAGGGTGAGAGAAGGAAAAGGGAGGAGGTGGGAAGGGGTGTCCGGTCTCAGAAGGCACAGGCCTGGGCACCCACAGGGCTGGGGGTGGAGATGGACGGTGTAACACGTGTAACGGGACACCGTGGAGAACACGGAGGAAGACTGTGATCGGATGGGCCTCCAAATGCAGAATTTAGGGTGAAAAGCCTTGGCGAGAGTGACTGGCATACAATAGCCCCTCCAATGAGTTCCCTTATCTCCTTCCACACCTGGCTATGTCCCAGCTGCTCCAGTAATGATCACTGGCTGCTGTCCCGCTAGCCCAGGGGTCGGCAAACTGCAGCTCAAGAACCACATGCGGCTCTTTGGCTCCTTAAGTGTGGCTTTTCCACAAAATACCTCGTGCGGGCCGTGCATGTACAGTGTGATTGAAACTTCGTGGCCCCTGCGCAGGAGTCGGTTTTCGGCCTGGGCGAGTCTATTTTGAAGTGGCGTTAGAACACTCAAGGGGCCAAAGAGCCGCATGTGGCTCGTGAGCCGCGGTTTGCAGACCACAGTGCTAGCCCAATGGCCCTTCTCTCTGTGCTCACAAGCCACAGATCACAGTTCAGGTCCACGTCCCCTTCTAGGTGCCCTTGTTCATGAGACAATTAGGAGAAAAAAATAAATAAAATTAAGATATGATGGCCCTCGCTGGTTTAGCTCAGTGGATAGGGCATCGACCTGCAGACTGAAGGGTTTCAGGTTCGATTCCAGTCAAGGGCACATGCTGGGGTTGTGGGCTCACTCCCCCGGTAAGGGGTGTGCAGGAGGCAGCCGATTCATGATTCTTTCTCATCATTGATGTTTCTCTCCTTTCCTCTTCTCTTCTCTTTTTTTCTCTCTCTCTCTTCCTCCCTCCCTGAAATCAATAAAAATATATTGATTTAAAAAAATTAAGATGTAATGGTAAGGTCATTACATGGCACAAATGACTCACCACTGTGCTCTTTTAATCACCGAGTATTTCATAAGAGAAGGTGCATGTTGACACATATATACCATATAATTATGCAACACCCCAAGTGCTGGCTGGAATCTGGCCACCATGGGCGATGTGAATGCAGCAGGGTGGCCGGGTGACCCAGGAGGACCTAGGTCTGAGCAAGGAAGTGGGCAGGGGCAGGACCAGCCATGGAAACCACCGAGCACGGTCAGATGGAAAAGGCCAGCGACAAATGCAAACCCCGTGAACACGGGGGTCACAAGTGCTTCCCGCAAGAGAGAAAATGAACATTACCCAATCGTCAGTTCTGACCGAGAAGGAAAGGTCACCACAAATGAGAACCAAGAAGATGGGAAGACCCGCCAGCTGCAGATTATGTAACGGCCACAGCTAATCTACATGGAAGAGCGAGAGCGGGCATATTTATCTTCTCGTTCGGTTAGTACGCTTGGTCTTGCTCCGTCCGTTTCGGTGGGCTGTGTACAAACTGTTCCCGCTCTGTTTACAACATGTTCCCGGGGTGTCGCATATTTATATATATATTTTTTTGTCCTTGACAATGATTACTTCCATATGTAACTCCATTCAGCGTCCTCCCAATTACTGCGGCGGGTTTATTCAGTCCCTCGTTTACTCTCCAGGAACCCAAAGCGCACTTCACTCCTGTCATCGCAGAGCCTAGATGATCAGGGAGACCTCCAGCGTGAACCTACACCGCCGAAACTGCAAAATGCAATTACCCCCTTTTCGAAGCCTCCAGAAAAGAAACGTAAGGACAAACACTCAAACCCACTGACAAGAGCAATGACACAATAACCAGAAATTGGCACAGAAAGTTGTGTCCGAAAAATGATTTCGGCAGACTTCTCTATTATGAAAACTTGAAACAAAAGTAGGATGGCTAAATAATATCACAACCAAACAACAGAATCCTACCTAAGCATCAAAAAATCATTAAAAACAAAACAAAATAAACTACAACACTAACGACGAGAAAATGTTCAGTGCTCTAATGTTCAATGAAAAACTGCAGTCTAAAAATGTTCTGTGATGCGAATTTTATTATTTATCTTTGGAATATGCTCACAGGCATCAATAACAGACTGAAAACACTAAAACATACAACGTTATAAACCAGTGGGAGGTTTGTAGATGACCTGTACCTTGAATTATCACTATACCTTTCCATATGTCCCAGAGTGTCTGTTTTCAGAGTCCGGGAAAAATATAATTTAAGCTTCAAAGATATTTTAAGCTTTACTACAAAATATATTACACATTATTATTATTAAATATATGACAGAATATTATTATTAAAATGTTATAGGAAATTATTATTAAACCTGACCCTCTACAGAGAAACAAAAGTGGTAAGAAGACCAATGAACAGATCTGGCTGGCATTGAAGAAAAGACTTGGAAACAGGCATAATAGGGGAGAAATGTGGGAGTAAAAGAGAATAATAATTATAAAGGGATCTGCCACTTCCAATGATAGGAGCTAGGTTTGCTGAGGACACCTAGAAAATCTGGATGAAATATAAGCAAATGCCTGTGAGAAGGCTCTCGAGAGCTAACCAGGAAGTGGAGAATTACGGGGCAGGGACTGCAGATCCTGGATAAGGCACCTGCTGATTTCCAGGAAAGGTGATGGGAGCACGGGCTGGAGCGGCACCTTTGACCGTCTGCTGGGCCAGGGTGCCCATACCCCTTTGTGTCACTGATGCCGTTTTTCCTCCTCTGACAGATGGAGACTCTCGGACTTCGGAGAAAGCCTGATCAAGCGCCTATGATGGTCCAGGATTATGGACTCCATCCTGGGTCCTTTGATGACAAATATCACCCATGGTCTTTCCAGTAACTCAGGCTCCTCCCAAGAAGCCACCACAGGGCATTCACAAGCCCCGGCTGACCCCGCCGGCCAGCCACCTGTCCGCAGGCTCAGAATGCCTTCCGGGAGTGCTCTGGCCGCTGTGCGGCGACAGGAGGCCAGCCAGCGGGATGGAACCGACTGGTGGCCCAGCACCGGCGATCGCAGTATCTCTGGACGGACTCGGCTGGGTTCTGACCTTCCCTCTCAGGCTGAGAGGCCATTCGAGTCTCCGAGAATCCAGGGTCCCCATGACAAATGGGAAAGACGCCCCAACAGCGAATAAAGGCAAAGAGGACGCTCCCGGGTTGAGACCGGAAAGAGGAATGCAGTCCAAAGGGCCTTCGGGAAACTTCGGGGAGGGGATGGTGGCGAGTAGGAGAACAAATATGTCTTAAAGAACGTTCTGGGCCCCTGAATGTGAAAAGACAAGCCTACTAGTCCATAGCGTAGTTTAGGGTGGGCTAGAGAGATATAAACTCTGTGTATTAAAAAAAAAAGTTTCAAGCACTAAAGGGTTAGAAGAAATCATGATCTTTTAGGTATAGTCTGAGGCTATCATAACCTTTTTTTTTTTTTTTCTTCCTTGAGAATCAGATTTTCACTCTAATAAAAATCATTAGCCCTCAGCCAGCATGGCTCAGTGGTTAAGCATCGACCTATGAACCAGGAGGTCATGGTTCGATTCCTTGTCAAGGCACATACCCGGGTCGCAGGCTCAGCCCCCAGTAGGGGACAAGCAGGAGGCAGCCGATCAATGCTTCTCTCTTATCCTTGATGTTTCTCTCTCTCTCTCCCCCTCTCCCTTCCTCTCTGAAATCAATAAAAATATATTAAAAAAACAAAATACAGGCTCCCATCTCTGGTCCAGGAAGGCTGAGGACTCACGGAGAAAGGGCCTAATCCTGATGCAGCCCATCCGTTCTTCCCTGGGTGACCCCGTAAGTGCTTCTTTCTCCCCAACCCACAATGCCTCTGCCGTTTCTGCAGCCTTCAGCCTTCTGCTGTTCGTCAACACATGCGCTTCACCACCTCTGCACTCTGGGACCAAGGAGCCTGGTAATCCTAGCAGCTCAAGGTTAATGAAAGAAATAAGCTCACACTTATTTTCACTGAGATTTTGAAATTGCATTCATTCAAACATTTTTCGGCCCCCACATAACACTAGACAAAAAAGAGGACCTAAGTACTATGAGTTAGTCCATATTCTGCCCTGGAATATGGTGTCAAGATTGACAGCTGGAGAGAAACTATTTTTAAAAATATATATTTTATTATTTTTTTTTTTTACAGAGAGGATGAGAAAGGGATAGAGAGCTAGAAACATCGATGAGAAACATCATAAGCTGCCTCTTGC